TTTTTACTATTACTACTATTATTGTTGTTGTTGCTAATTAATTATTTATCAACTATTGTTATTAGTAGTAGTAATTATTGCTTGCAGTAAAAGATGAGTAATCTATAATAAAAGTGGAAAAAATTGTTACTTCCTTATTGTGAGATTGTAAACACAAATTCAATTCTCCATCTTTTGAGATACGGTATGATGAAAAAGTTTGCTGATTAATCCATGGTAGTTTCTAAACCGCATCAAATCACATCACATTATGCATCCAAAAGTTCCTTTAAATAGAGTGAAAACAATGAGGGAAAAAAAGTGTAACATTCCCTTTTTTCATTTCCTTTTAATTCCTTAAACTAAATAAATTCGCATAACAACTCATCAACATCCTCTTATCATCTATAAATACTTTTAATCAAATTTTAAAACAATGCGTTTTCTTTTTTGTACCAAAACAATAAGCACTTATGGGGGAAAAAATTAATCAATTATCCTTCCATGGAAAAAAAAACAAAAAGCATAGAAACTTGCAAACAAAATAAAATAAAACAAACTTATTGAAGTTTTAAAAATGGGAGAAAAAAAAGGAACAAATGATGTATCATATTATATTAAAACATTGTTGTATAAAAATTTTTGTTGTTAATTGTGGTAAAGATAGTGTAAATTATATTTGTCTCTATCTAGTTGAACAATTATAAAATGATTTTCTATAGCTATAATCGTAAGGTTCATTCATGAGTTTCTATTGACAAAATCCCCTTAGTGCACTGTAAAATCGTGATTAAAAGTCTTTATTATTAACAAAATATATTACTATACAGGAAAAAGACTTTTTTTTATAACTTATATTTCATGTCACTTGTTGAATGCTTCATGTAGATTATTTATCCACTTATGCATGTATATCATAAATTACTGTCAAGCTTTACTACAATATGCTAAACTATCAACAACCATTCGTTGTTATCAACAATTAAATAGCAACGTTCAATTATTACTACCTCTTATTAACAAGAATCAATCATATATTAACAATCCTGGTGGATCACTCTTAGTAATTATCATCATCATCATTATCATCATCCAAATTATACGGTTACTAACAGGAATAAACGAGAATATAATTAGTTAACAAGTAATACTAAATAAAAGTAATACTAAACATTAAATAATACACTAAATAAAAATATCACCTTTGGAATTTTTTACTGAGCATTTTAAAGCAAAAGTGTAGAAAAACAGTAATTGAGCAGCACTAATTACCAAAGTTGTCGAACAAATAACATAAAACATACCATCAGTGAGTTGTACGCTTGCCAAATTACTCGTTTGGTATTCCTAAATTATTCGAAGAATTGAAGAAAAAAATTGATGTAAACCTGCCTTTTTTACTTATAGTGAAGGCAAAGTCCTAAGTCCAATTTAAGCCTATAAACGATGTCGAAATGTCTTAAAATATTGTATAGAGAATGCTTTGTACTTTGTACTTTCATCAGCTCATTAGAATTACGCTTAGCATTTGCGCCTTCTCAACATACCTATCCTGCACTGCACTTATGTTACTTGTGATTAGCACATGCATATCACAAATAAACCCCACTGGGAAACCAGATTTCATCAGCAATTTCAGTAAAACCGTCTTTCATCAGCATTGAAACTCTGATTATCAATAAAGAGATCTAAAGTTAAAAATAGTTCAAAACAAGAACATTTAATAGTAACCTTATAACCGTAATGAGTAAGGATCATTACGATAACAAAGGGTGCAATAGACTGAGCTGGTCTGACCAATACAGCGGCTAAACTATATATAATAGTAGAGATTGGTTTCCTGAAACCTACATCGATCAAAAGCCCAACATTCCGTTTATTGCCAAACAAATTATTTAGTAAATTATTATTTAAAACAGAATAGTAAACAGAAACTTTAAGTTGGGAAAACTTAACACAGCAATGCATTCAATCTTTTTAGTTTAAGAAAAAAAAGATGGAAAATGGAAAATTTGTTAGCTTACTGTCTTGAAAATGAAGTCATATCTTCGTTAACATAATCAGCTAACAAAACTTGATATAATGGAGCTATTGAATGAACTAATATGCTGAAAAAAATCAAATCACCATCGAAGAACCATTAAATGATTTAGATTAAATTTTAGCACAACACTAATATCGCTAACTAAATTATAAAAGTTTGTAAACTACGGTTAGAACGAAATATTCCACATTATTTAGCGATTTTCTTTTAGCAAAGATTTATTTACTTCCTATAAAGCAATTCCACTCAATAGTCTATTCATCGTGATAGGTTAAAAAAGGGAATAGATGTTTCCATGAATTAAACACACAGCACATTGCGGTGGAAAACAAAGTTTAGTAACACCTCGAATAAGTCAGCAAATGATAAGTTACAATATCATATTCTACCAAACATTAAGTATTCATAGAAAATACCTGTCAAAAAACATGAATAAAATAATCAAATATGGACGATTATATCCAAAGATTAGAAGGAACCCAGATGCGATCATGGAAGCAATGAAAGATTTCATAATAACGGAAGGAACACCTACTTTGATGATCATTTTACCGCTTAATATCACAAACAGCTGCAATTCTAATATGCTTGAAAGAAAAAATTCCTTTTTATAATATTTCTGATTTTTCAAAATTAAAAATTAAATTTATGTGAAAGAAAAACGAGAAAGTGAGTAATAACCTGAGGAGTAAGTGTGCATGCCGCATAAAAAAGACTCATTTTCCAAGACCCTTTTACCATAAGCTGTTCTGGGATGAGCATTTCGGTGGCAATAGTAGCAAAGTTCAGATGAGCAGTTGATCTAGACATATGCATCACTTTAGTTTATGTCAGTTTGGATAAAACTAAAATGGTAATTGAATCGTTTGATTTTTTTTGTTGATGGATTCAAAATTTGAATAAATTTTATAAAATGTCAAACTCGGAAAAAATCATTGAAAAAGCAAGAACGGAAATAAACCTGCATGTGTGAAGAAAATAGGTTGTAGTAATGGTTCGGAAATCACATCTCGTTAGTATTTGCTTCGTTATTTTGAAAGCACTCAAAAATTTTTCCTTGTCCTGCAGCAGCGTAGGTGAAGAGGACAAATCCTCATATACCAGCTTGTTCTGATACCGTAACGACCCTGTGACTTTGAAACAAAGCACTGCTAATACCGCGATAACAATACTAATGTACTGGAAAATCCGGAAATCCTGAAATCATTTCATTTAATACTATAATAGAAATCTCTAAATCTGTTAATTAAGTAATACAACTGCAAAAAATATTAGACCAAATTTTTGGATACATTTTATTAAATCATAAGAATTCCTTTCTACCTTTCATATTTGAAAAAGTTTGCTTCTTCTCTGGATGCCTCATTGCTATTACTGATAAGAAACTCTCCCTTAACCTGAAGTATATTTTACAACATATTTTAAATGCATAGAAGCTACTAAACCAAATGCATTACAATCAAACATTAATAAAAGGTAAAGCGAAACTTACATTTAGTCCACTTGTCAGTTTCTCAGTGATTGGTACAATATTTACAGATAAAAGAATTGCAAATTGGGAAAATTTCAAAGCTGAAATACGCTCAGATTTATTGCAAGTCGTTTCCGCGAATAACGCACTCCATGCAACACTTACACAGCTGTAAAGGTTAATAACAGACTTTAAGATTAACCTATGACTGAAAATAAGAAATGTCACCTTAATTAACCCAACAAATTGAGCATAGTTTTAAATGATAAATTTAAAAAGTTGGGGGAAATTTACACTTATCTATTCAGTTAAGAAAAAACAATGAAATAAAGAGATCAAAAGAGAAATACCTGTAAAAGGCATCATAGAAAAAAAGGCCAAAAAGTAAATGACATCCGACAATGTACGATGATGATGAGCCATCCATGCTGCTCCACGGGAACCATAAAATCAAAAACGAGACTGCTAGACAAGGTCCTAACATTGATATTACTTTTGTGCGGCAATGAAACCATGTAGTGCTAACATCCTGAAAGCGAAAAAGAAAAGTTGATCAGAGTTATACGGATTATTAGAACTTTATTGCACCGATTACTCAGTAATATGATTACTTTTTTGAAACGTATAACTGATTGATAAGCAACTTACAATTAGCTAATATTACTTAACATACAATAAAAGTGTTTGATATACTGAGTGACAAATAAAGTGACTTAATCCAAAAAACCAGTCCAATTCAGTCATTTGTATTGATTCTATTAAGTAACATTCATAAATTAGATAAATGGGAAAAAAAATTAAGCAGATAAAACCAACCAATCAATCATTAGCCAGTATTTCTTAGCATTTCCTACTTGGAACAATATTTTCTTCCAAGCATTATCAATCTTTATGGTACTCTTCAAGGTATTTCCTGAATGATATTAACTTCTAACCTGAACATAACCGAACAACGGATCGTTGATGGCATTCCAAATAGCGAATAACATCTGCGCCATACCAAACCAAAACTGATCGATCTTATAAATATTCAAGAATATTTTAACATAATAAAACATAAAGAATGTTTGTATCAGGCTCATGGCCAACTGACCACAGCACAAAGCACCATTTACTGTCACATCCATTTTCATTCCTCCATTCAATACACAGATGAAAGAAGAACTAATTCACCGTTAACTATCTGTAAATAAAATAACATACTGTATTATAAATGGTTAATGGACTGTTATTTTAGAAGTATTGAAAAAGCACAAATGTTTTTTGTACAAAAAAATATGATCAAGAAATATGCTTATGCAATTAAAATTACATTTCGTTTTACTTATATTTAAAAGACAGAAAATGTCAATTATAAAAAATGGAAGTAAACTAATAGACGAACAGTGAGTAAAGGAAAAAAAATAGGACAAGTGAACAAGAAAATAAAAAAGTTAAGCAAAAAATAGGAGAAATTGTGAGATGGAAAAGAGAAAAGCACAAAAGGAAAAAAAAAGCTAAACAATAAACAAAGAAAAGATAAACGAAAACAAAAAGAAGTGTAAATAAAAGAAAAGAAAAGTAAACAAAAGTATAATATCCCTGATATGGTACCATGCTTCTTATTTGAAACATAATAGGATCCTGAAATTTGCGCTATTTATTGCTCGGGACCGCGTTATTATCGATGTGTTTGGAGTGTTGTAACACGTGCGGATGGGTCGCCGCTTTCACTTTTTGTAATTATTCAAATGTTTAGTGGTTTGTCTTGTGAAATTTACAAAGTTTGAAACTTGGTTTTACTCCAAACCTAGTTTGGAGTCGAAATTTTCCAAAATAATTTGATGGATGTTTGCAGAATTTAGACATAAGTGCCACCGTTTTCCACATAATCCCATTTACTTACCGTATATGCATGCTACGCTTAATGTGTTTAGTACCTCATCCATTTCTTACTTTTGTCCACATATCATGCTTATTTCAGTCCATTTCTGCAGAAATTATCAGTTCGCTTATTTATATATATATATGTATTACTTTGGTTGTGCTAGCAGTTGTATTTTTTATTTAACTTTATCTTTCATGTGCATAATGATTCCAGTATATTACATCTTATAGAAGTCTGTAATTAGTTGTTGCATCATGAAAGGCTTATTTGACATTGGGACGGCAAGTGCAACGGTGCGTCGTTTGGTAGCGATGATTCGAGAAAAGCCCCTTGGTGAAGAGACGATCAACATTGAGGTTATAATTTGTGAACATTTGCGTGTGTTAGTGAATTTAGTCGATGTAAGTCGGGATGGAATTTGAAATGAGTCAAGCAGAAATGAATTTTAACTATGCTGAATTAATTTGAACATATTTGGGTCTAAATATGACGAACTGGGCTTGAATAGAACCAAAGCTGAATAAAATTTAGATGTGACATTGAATCAGGTTGGAATCTAGCAAGGTAGGTTGAATTGGACGGAATTGGACTTAAGCAAAAATAAATTGTGTTGAGCTGAAATGAACTTGTGTATAATTAAATCAGATCGAATTTGAATTGGATGGTTTTCTAACAGGAGAGCTGAATTAAGTTGAACTAGAAAAAATGTTGATTCAGTTGAGCCAAAACAAACTTATTTGCAGTGTAATCAATTTTGGTCTCAGAAAAAAAAAAAGTGAAACGAAGTAAATTAAAAGCTGGATGAAAGCGAGGTGATTTGGGCATTAATGTGTTCGAGTGGAACTGAGAATGAGCCGCAGAGAATTGAGTTCCGATTAAAACAAATTAAGCTGGATGGAACTGAGTCCGGAAGGAATTAAATCAAGTTGACGGGACTTGTGTTTAACCAGAATCGGAATTAGTATACATAAACTGAATCAAAATCGAAGTGAGTCGAGTCGAGTAGAAGTGAATAAAAAATCTTAGAAATTCATGATGAAATCTGAATGAAAATGAATGCAAATAAATGATTTCATGTACTAAAGGATGAACACTGGCCTGAGAAAGCGGTGAAAAGTTTGGTAAAGAAACTCAAGAAATCGAAAGCTATCGATGAATTGGAAAAAGCGATTTCGACGGAAGATCCAAACACTGATTGTGTTTGTATCCCACGGTAATATCCTGTTTTTTTTTTTGTTCCTGATGAGTTAAGTTAATTGTGAACTCATTCCGCTTAGAAATGATTCGGATGGTTTATATTGCTATCAATAGCTTTGGAAAGGGTATCTGTGATTTTCTACGCGTACAGTAAAAGGTGAAATTATTGAGGACATAGTGCAAGCGTATCCCAAATGACGATATCCTACTTCTTACTATGTGCCAGTAATGACCAGGATTACTTTTCCGTACCCAATATTTCCTAAGTTCTGTTACGAGCATTGTCCATCATGGTAGTAACTATATTGCTTGTTACTATATTACCATATTATTTTTTGCCATATTATTACCATGTTTGTTGTAAATAAAAATTTAAGTGTTTTTAATGTAAGTGCTAAACCAACGATGGATAATGCCCAACCTTTTATCCTTTCCTCCTTCTACAAGGAGGCGTTATAGAAGTTAATTTCAGATAACTCATCCGTTTCTTTTACTTCTAATTCTTTTTTTAAAAAAAAAATTACTTTATTGATTTCCAAATGATTTTGCAGATCGTTGGACGGCCGATTGCAGGTATCACAACGTAAATGCTTGCCTCATGTTATCTGCTGTCGAATGTGGCGTTATCCAGAACTTGCTTCTTCTCATCAGTTGAAATCTGTCTCACACTGTCGTTTTCCATACAGCAAGAAAATGGAATCAGTTTGTGTTAACCCCTATCATTATGAAAAAATCGAGAATCCTCGTATGTTTTACTCCACTGATCATTATCTTCTATGAAATTTTCAATATTTCACGAAATTTATATAGCAGTTTCTAACCCTTACATTTCTTAAATCTTTTGTATAAACTCAGAAAGCGCAGTGCTACCTATAGTGAATCCTGATATTTGCATCATTCGAAGCTCAGGTGGATAAGTGGGACCTGACAAGTTTTTCCATTGAGATTGATTCTTTCATTCGAACTGGTATATTTTCTTGACTTATTTGGTAAAAATTTTAGGGTTACCTGCTATTCTTATACCGCGAAATGACAATTTAAATGGAACTGGCAGCCTTTCTAATGTTGGTGATCTTTCGAAAGCTCTTCGAACTGTTTATCCAGCAGTAGATACAAATGAGGTTTCGTATTTGCTAAATTATATCAATATTGCATTACAATGTAAATTTATGTAATCATTGTCAAGATTTGTAGCTTGGATATACTTTATTATAGTATTTCAAATGTTTAAGTATTTTAAATGTTTAACTGTAGTTGATACGTTATTGCGATCAAAATATTTTAGATGATGACACAGAGTATTCCGAATCGTACTGTAACTAATGGTGATGAAGTGGGATGGCAGAATTGTCGCAGTTCCCCAACGATTTCATCACCGAATATGAGCGATCCTGCTGGTATTATGTTATTCAATATTACCTACTGAAAACATGGAAATTCGGTTATTCCCTGCCAATATTGAAGACTTTCGAAAATAAGAACAGAATAATTCAAAAAATAGAATTGCTTTGATGCAAATTAAACTAACCTTATTTCTGATCCTTCAAATTATTGAATTTTTTTGGAATTCAATTATTCCAGCAATTTCTCCGCGTGGTTATATGAGCGAAGATTTGGAAATGGACGAGGGACAAAGTCCGGATTCATCGCAAATATTTTCATCAGCTTGTGATTCCTCTACCACTGAACGAGCCAATAATTGTAATTTTTCTTCAGTTTAGAATACCATTCTCGTTTCTCTTTTCGAATGGATTTTATTACTTTCTTTTTACATTATTTTTCTTTTACTCCTTTGAAAAATAAATTTTCGGCAGCTAAGAAACAAAGAAAAGTATTTCAGAAAAGTTTTTGCGATTTGATTGTCAAAGCAACTTTTATTACATGCTTGTCAAAATAACGTATCTTACATTTGCTCATTATATTTAGTAAATTTAATTGCCGTCGAATATTGTGAACCACCGTTTTGGTGTTCCGTGTCGTATTATGAGTTGTCAGAACGAGTCGGTGAAACGTTTCATGCATCACAACCGTCTTTGATTGTTGACGGATATACCGCGCCTTCTGATGCGGAACGTTTTTGTCTTGGTCAACTTTCCAATGTTAATCGTACTGCTAGTGTCATGGAAGCTCGAAAACATATCGGTAAAATTCGTAGAAATGTTGCAATACTCCTTTAGACTTCTTGTTTTTGATTCATTTCTTTGTGAAAAATTTAAATTTCTGAATTTCTTCATGCTGAAACTCGTAACTTTAATTTTTTCAAAATGAAACAAGTATTTTATAATAGTTCGGTGCTCTTTCACATCGTACGAAAAATCGACATTGAAATTTTTCGTTACTGATTTGCTCTTGGCGTTAATATCAAATGGCATAAGTCATCTAATTTGAATTATTTTAGATGGCTCATATAATTTGCTGGCAATCGTCTATTCGAACCCCTCTGTTAATTTTATCGAAATCATTGTGTTTTTAATGCTTTTTTTTTCTTTTTCCCATGAGGATAATTTCAGGTCGCGGTGCTCGTTTCTATTATATAGGTAGTGAGGTGTTCTGTGAATGTTTAAGTGATTCGGCGATATTTGTACAAAGTCCTAATTGTAATCAGCGGCATGGTTGGCATCCGGCTACAGTGTGTAAAATTCCGCCAAGTGAGGGGTTCAATTCAGAGATTCTCAATTTTTTATTCCTTTTATAAAATTTCCTTCATTCTTTCGTAAAATTATGAGAATTTGATATCTTGGCTTCAACTTTGCTGATTCCATCAATTTTGGACCAAGAAATGTTCAAAGTTTCGGAAAAAAATGGGCTTGAATTTTGTCGTGGTTATTTGTATTACATTCAGTAATGGGCTATATATATATATATATATTTGCTATTTTCAGATTGCAACTTGAAAATTTTTAACAATGCCGAATTTGCTGCATTACTAGCTGCATCAGTTCCGCAAGGTTTCGAAGCTGTTTATGCTCTTACTCGAATGTGCACTATTCGAGTATCTTTCGTCAAAGGATGGGGTGCGGAGTACCGTCGTCAAACGATCACGGCTACACCATGTTGGGTCGAAGCTTATCTTAATGGCCCATTACAATGGCTAGACAGTGTTTTGAAGCAGATGGGCAGTCCACCAAATCGATGCACAAGCTTCACATAGTGGATACTTTTCACGTTTCAGATTTCTTATGTAAGCAAGAGAAAACGGATTGAAGCGATTCACACTAAAGGGCTTGTATAATCTTCTTCATTTTTTGGTTTTAAATTTGTTGATTTTAATAATGAATTAGACACAAGGTTAAGTTGAGATTTTCGAAAAATGCAGCTGCATAGTGGTCTTTATAATTTCTCAAATATTAAGTTTCGGAACTATACTCCTAACAAAACGGTCCAATATATTGCTTTGTGTATATTATTATCTGTTAGTTTAAAAAGGTCAGCAGTGTTGACTATTACATCCGTTTCTGTAATACCGGATTCTTAATTGAACTGTACTCTTTCTCATTCTCTTTTTAAAATTATTTTCATCATAATTTTTCCCATAATTTGTGTCGCTTTTGATTCGCTTTGCTTTGCTGTGGAAAGCAGTGCTTGTATGTATTATATTCTAGCATAGTTATTTTCTCGTTGATGAAATCAACAATAAGTCATTGTACTTCTATTGCATATCGTCCACAAACAATTATTTAGTATAATATAATCAGTTCTGATACCGATAACCTTTTCAATATTTTTATTTGCTTCTTCTTTGTTTCACCTCTTTATGGGTTGGGATAGAATATAGCACATTATTTGGCTAATTGTATTCGCTGAGAGGAGTATGAGGGATCGGTTCTCATGTGATCTAGTAGAGGATTACAAGCTGAACGAAATGGTATAGATCCGATTCTGAGTAATCATTCAGTGCTGATCGGTTTTGAGAGTAAATAATTGTAGAGTATGACTTTATTCTTCTGTGTAAGAATAAATTTGTGTATGCTTCCAAGATAGTGATGTTCATCTGTTCTCAAGACTGCAACGCTTATTGTGATATTTTTTCTTCTTACTCTTGTTGATGCTTATTTTACCGGTTATTCTTGTTTTGTATAATTTTTGCAAAATTCTACATAAACTCCAGTTGTAGAATTGCTGTTGAAATTTTTAGAACCTTCATAGTAGATCGTTTTTAAAAATCCCATCAAAATTCCGGTACCGCTGTTCAGACTTCTCGAATATATTTCCTTTTCACATATTGATTCTTGTGTATCGCTTGTCTCCTCTTCCTAATTTTTTAATCCAATCCGATCCATTATTACTTTGCAACTTGTACCCAGGTTTTAACGAAGGATTCGAATATGAGTTTAAATATGTTGCTTACTTCATACAGTTTTGTTTTCGTTACGTGAAAACTTTACATTATTCAAGATGACTCATGCGTGGACGAAAATTTGCTGTGCAGAAAAAAAAAGATGCATGCAAATTAAAGATTCCATTGCGGTCTTCTATTTTATGAGCAGCTTTTCATTTTTTTTTTTTCTTATAATAATTTTTAATCCTCATATGTGTAATTTGTTGCTGTAAATTTCCTGATAATGTTCCTCGGATTGTATTATTTTTGGCTGCCAATTTTACATTAATACTGTAAAATAGGTAACTAGAAATAGAATTAATGTATTTGCTAAGTTCATTTTCAGCTCTTCTCAGTTGTATTGTATGTGACAAAATTTGTACAAACCAATTACATTGCGCAAAAATTTAATAAACTAATCGAAAGATCAGGAAATGGAAATGAAAACAGTTTTAGTTCGAAGAAACAAAAACAAATGCTCGCCGTGTCTAATTTTTGGTATTTAAGATTGTTCTGATTGTGTGAAATTTCAAAAATGGTTTTTGTGCTAATCTTTCGAGCAGTTTGGAAAAGTTGTGGTAGTGATACGATAGTTATGGTAATGATATGAAGTGATATAACATATGGTGAGAAATAGAGGTATGCAAGTAAACAAGTTTATATGAGTTTAAAAATCATTGTGAGGTTAATTACTTTGCCTTATCAACCTTTAAGTCGAGTTCATTCATTTATTCATTTTCTTAAGCTATTTATTTAGTAATACTTCTTTTAACCTGTCCGATATTATTCATTTATTTGTGATAGTGAAATTTAACTAATAATTAGATTAAAGCCTCCGAATATTTTTTTTTTTAATCATACTCATCGAAAGCATTGTAATCAGAACAGTTCATATAATTGTGCATTACAGTCTTAAATTCATAATTTCCAGTGCAAAATTTAGTTTTGTGATTTATGAATCAAATTTTGGAAAATAAAATTTGATTGGTTGTATAGTAACACTAAAAAAATATCAAACATTCCAATTTAATTAATGAGGAAGGAGAGATTTTTCTTTTTCGTCCGATGCTCTTCCGGTCTGAGCATGCAATGGGGAAATTACCATTTACTATTCTTTTTTTAATGTAAGTACAAAAAATTCATTTTGTTGAAGTACGATAACTTTCTTATGAGTGAAATTTGTTGTATGAGTAAATCCTTGCATTTTTTTCTTTTTTTGGTGACTTGATTAAAGCTTATTTAACCTGTTTAGCTTTTTTGTTTATTCCGTTTTATGATTTGTGATAACCATTTGAAATGTTTTGCAAAAATATTTCAATCAAATTTTAAACAATAAGGCTAGGTAGGTTAAACATTAAATAAACTTTAATCTATTTTCACTCATCGGTTGGGAACCTTTTTTTTTTATTTTTAAATAAGATAAAAATTATGAAGTTGTTATTTCCTAGAAAATAATCAATTTCAACTTTGTTTTTTTCTTTCTCAACAAAAATTATTGCTAATAACAATAATAAAAAGGTGAAAAATAATCCCAATCTTTTTTTATTTGACTTTTTTTTTTTCATTACTTATCATTGGACGAAATTTAAACGACTATGTTTTCTTGAACAAAAAAAAGAAAAAAAGTGTTAAATTAATAATTACGAATGCAATATATTTTTTCCTCCTTTCATTTTTTTTATTTTTTTACCATCATACAATAACATTTTGAATCATTTTCTCTAGAGATTTCATAAAGACAAGAAATTATTGGTGAAATTTCCAATTTCCTTTAAAATTAAATATTTATAAAGACATTTTAAAATTATTCATAAAGAATTTGTGGAAATGCAAAAAATTAAAATGTCATCATTTCATATTATTTAAGCAATGGCAAAAAAAAAGAAATAAATGTTTTGTAATTTAAAAAAAAAACAATGAACAGCACAATTTTTTTTTTTCGTGTTTCAAACTCTTTCGTTTATTTATAATTTCAAAATTTTACATTACATCTCATTTTCAATCAGTTTTTTTTCTAGTTTTATTAATTAAAAGCTAAAAATAACCTCTTTGATCAATGCCTCATTCATATATGCTTAAATTAGAGGCTAATGAATCAATTTTGCTAGTTACATTCAAATTATTAAATCATGTGCTAATTATTATTCTTGCATATTTTTATCACTTCCATGAGCTATCATTTTTATTATCATTTTGTTTACCAAACATTTTTTTCTATGATATTTTTAATATTTCATATACTTCATTTGTATCATTTTCCATGATATTTCATATATTTCATTTTATCATTTTTATCATTTTCCATAATATTCCACGTCATTTCATACATATACAATTTATATTACACTTATAAAACAATAATTTTAATTGACGACTAATAATTTTCTAATTTATTCAAATTAATGACTCAATTATGTGCTTAATACATCAAAGGAAAGTATAATTAATAAATTTTATCAATTTTATTTAAAAAATGTTATTTGCGGAATAGATTAAATGTGATTAATTATTAAATATGTTATTGAAATTAATAACTAATAAAGGGAAATTTGATATTTGATATTAGCTGAAAAAATTTGAAGAATTTATTTTTTTTTTTGCAGATAAATTATCCATATGCAAGTTAACGATTCAATTTTAATTAACTTCATGATGTCATCAATACTTGTGATATGCTTCATATTACAGTTTTCCACTATCACCATAGAAGGAAAAAAGATGGTTAACCAGTTTTATGATATTGATAACAAACAACTAATATTCATTTTAATACAAGCTAATATTGCTTCGTTATGTGATTAATTCATTTATTAATTAATCGAATCGATTTATCAACCAAATTTTGAATAGATAAGTAAAAATTACAAAGAAATAGCATATTTTTTCAGAATATTCCACGGAACACATATCGAACGAATGGTATTTCATTAATAAACTTTATTAAAAGTTAACTGTCTCTTCATTTTGTGCAAAAATTGAAAGAATGATAAGTTCTAAATGATATAATGCTAATAAGATAGAAAGATATCTTTTATAAATTTATAATTTACATGTGAAAAAAAAAAGGAATATTTTTGAAATTTTCACGAAAAAATCATTCAAAATGAATATAATTAATTTACTTTCATTTTTTTTAAATCAAAAAAGTATTGATAATAAAGAAGTAATTATTATTTTCCTGATAGAGATAATTCACTTATTTTTAATAAATAAAAAGACATTTTCCCAAATTGTACAAAAAAAACTCAGAAATATTCTTTTTTTTATCTTCCTAAATAATAGGTGAAAAATTTTGTTTATTTCTAAGAAAAATGAAACGGATATTGTTTTTTGTTTGTAAATTAGCAAATAAACAACAAATTATTTTAAAAAAAAAAATTTAGATTATTCTAAATTGGATATGTTTACAATTTCATTAAAAAGTATCTATCCGTATACTACAGAAAAACAGAATCAAGAATATGTAGCAATCATTTATAACAAGGTACTCATCTTTATACTTTACTTGTATAATTAGAATTCTAAATATAAAATGGAAATATGCTCAGAAATAATAATTTGGAATAATTATATCAGAGATAAATACATTTGTTGAAATAGTTTTTGGTAAAATAATAGATAATGAAACATTGTAATGCAAAATAGTCTGATGAAAGTTTTTTAAATGCAATTCAACAAAAATATACGATACAATTATGCTGCATTTTTCAGATTGCACAAATTCTACGTCATCAATTAAATACGGATCCAAGTGTGTTGCAATGTGGACAAATTTAGTAAATTATCATTGTTTTTTGAACAAAAGCAATAATAATAATATATTAATAATAATAATAATAATAATAATAATAATAATAATAATAATAATAATAATAATAATAATAATAATAATAATAATAATAATAATAATAATAATAATAATAATAATAA